GGAGGGGCCTGTTAGAAGAAAAAATAACAAACAGAAATGAATAGCATCAACATCAACAAAAAGGATGTACACACAGAAACCCCATCTGAAGGTCACCAACATCAAAGGCCAAAGGTAGATGAATCCACAGTGAGGAAGAAAAAGCAGCACAAAAAAGACTGAATATTCCAAAAACCAGAATGCCTCTTCTCTTCCAAAGGATCACAATTCCTCACCAGCAAGGGAACAAAACTGGACAGAGAATGAGTTTGATGAATTGACAGAAGTAGGCTTCAGAAGTGAGTAATAAACTCAACTGAGCTAAAGCAGCAAAGTCTAACCCAATGCAAGGGAGCTAAGAACCGTGAAAAAAAGTTTAGAGCAATTGCTAACTAGAATAACCAGTTTAGAGAATAACATAAATGAAAGAAGAGTGAAGAGACAAGAATGGGGGAAAATATTTGCAAACTACTCATCTGACAAGGGATTAATAATCAGAATACAAAAGGAGCTTTAACAACTCTACAGGAAAAAAAATCTAACAATCTGATCAAAAAATGGGTGAAAGATTTGAATGGGCATTTCTCAAAAGAAGATATACAAATGCCAAACAGACATATGAAAAGGTGCTCAACATCCTTGATCATCGGAGAAATGCAAATCAAAACTAAAATGAGATATCATCTAATCCCAGTGAAAACAGCTTATATCCAAAGACAGGCAGTAACAAATGCTGGTGAGGATGTGGAGAAATGGGAACCATTGTACATTGCAGGTGGGAATACAAATGAGTACAACCACTATGGAAAACAGTTGAAAGGTTTCTCAAAAGACTAACATTAGAGCTACCGTATGATCCAACAATCTCACTGGTGGGTATATACCCAAAAGAAAGGAAATTAGTGTATCAAACAAGTATCTACACTCCCATGTTTGTTGTAGCACTGTTCACAATAGCCAAGATTTGGAAGCAACCTCAGTGTCCAGCAACAGATGAATAGATAAAGAGAATGTGGTACATATACACAATAAAGCACTATTCAGCCATTTAAGAAATGAGATCCTGTCATTTGCAACAATATGGATGGAAACGGAGATTATTACGTTAAGTTGAATAAGTCAGAAATAACTGAAAGGTTTGCACAGAAAGGCAAAGGTAGTGGGGGGGCTAAAGGGAAGGTGTGGCTGGTTAATGGTTATCAACCAAAAAAAAAAAAAAAAAAAAAATAGAAAGAATGAATAAGACCTACTATTTGATAGCACAGCAGGGTAACTATAGTGAATGATAATTTAGTTGCACATTTTAAAACAACTAAAGGAGTATAACTAGGTTGTTTGTAACAAAAGAGGGTAAATGTTTGAGAGGATGGCTACCCCATTCTTCATTATGTGATTATTACACTTCGCATGCCTGTATCAAAACATCCCATGTACCCAATAAATATACACACCTACTATGTATCCACAAAACCTAAAAATACATTTTAATAAAAGAAATACCTAAATTTCCTATATCTGTTTACTGATAAGGTAAACTAATATGCCCACATAATGTGAAAATACCAAAAAATATAAAATAATGTTTTCAAATAAACTGAATAAAAATTATGAAAAATTCCACATATTAACAGTAATTATTTTCTGTAGTCTATCAGTTTAAATTTAATTTCCAAGATTCCTAGTTCAATTTAAGACCTTAGACTAATACTAAATTCAGTGGTTTCATGAACACCTTTCGATAATTTCTAGGTAGGATAGAATACTGAAATGTGGTCACCAATCACAGGTTATATAAATAAATATATGTAACTTTTATTCTTATTTTATGTTTATGGAGTGGCTATTTGTTTGGATTATGTTAACAAACGTGGGAGTTTTGTAGGCTAATTCAAGAAAGTGTAAAAAAGATGTATATGACCTTAGAAATTTGTAATATATGTGCTTGAGAATTTTGCACATCTGCCAAAATAGTTATTTTTAAGAGTCCTCAATCACGTCACTTCCAGTTTTCTTTATGAAAGAGAATTACTTTGATTAATGTAATTAGTAAAAGTAGGAGTTAGAACCATGCTAGAAACGAGAATGGATAAGGAATAGGACTGTTATGTAAAGCAATGGAATGTGATTTGGGTTTTCAAGCAAAGAGTATCTTTGCCTAAAGTAATGTTTTTTGTTGTTATCTCTGTCTTCACTGTGCTTCATGATAACTGAAATCTCAATTTAATTATTTTAGCTGGGTTACATGAAGTCTGTCCTATACATGCATGGTATAGGGACCAGAGCAGATATAGTCTCTGGTCCAAGCTGCTCTGGCCACTGTACCAGATGATCCAGCAGCATGCATCGTGGGCATTATAGGACTCTGTGCACGTCTCTGACAAGCCTGTAGGAGAAGAGAGAGCAAATCCCTATGGAATTAGTGCAAGACCATTCCCTCTTCAGTGGAGGAGTATCCTCTGCCTGACAAAAAAAAAAAAACAGCAAGTGCAGAACATTAATCCAAGCATAGAGTTCATCTAAGCACAAGCCCCTCTAGGCACAAAACCCTATGCAGCTCTGCAAGTCATATGCTCCTAAATCCAGCCATGACTGGAGGGCATGAGCACATCTGAGTGGCAAAAGGATTGGACTGCACTGGACACAGACATGTGCTTTCTTAGATTCCCCTCACTATCTACCATTCCCCTGGTCAGCACCTTGCCTGAACCAGATCAACCTTCCGTTTGGAACTTGAATGCATCACCACACAGTGGGCATGAAGTCTGACTTTCAAAACCTCCACCAAGGGACTAGATGGTGTAAGACAGAACAACAGAGATGGTAGTTCTGCCTCAGGTAAACTCTGGCCAATAGGATATAGAAGTCCAATGACAGCTGAGCAGAAACATTCTCCCTCCTCTCTCTCTTCCATGGACTAATGTTGACTGTGGTTTCCCCTTGTAGCCCTTCTGGAAAAAAGCTGGGAGCCAAGTGCACGTATCTAATGACCACCATTCTGTCTCTCTCACCTCACTGTGAAGTGGCTGCCAGCAGAGTCACACCAGACATTACCACACATTGTTTCACGTTTGTTTCTGTCTCAATTTCCGCATGTCCTTACCACCTTTGTCTTGAACTTGACTTCTAAATAAATGTCATCACTTTAATAACAGGTATTAAATTGAAAACATTTTAGTAAAGTAGCTGGTTACTGACTCAATTTTTTGAAATGACATGCCATTTTTGTTTAAATAATAATCAACTAGAAAATATCATAATATACATATGTAATTCACAATAGAAAAAAACACGTATTCAAATAGACCAAAGTTGTTTATATGCTTTTTAAAAAATATTGTAATAGGTGCCATATGATTTTGATGTTCTACTTTGTTTCCAATTCAGACACCTGATACAGCTTCATCAAGACTGTATTATTGTGATATTTCCCCTAAAATTGTGGAATAGCCAAACTTTTCCTTTGGTGAAAGATTCTGCTTGGATAAGCTTGTAACCCTAACCTGAAACCAGAACAGGGGAATTCACGCAACTGCAGATTTTGTGATTTATTTCCTTTTCATTGGTTTACCACATCAACTTACCCATTTTATCCACCCATTTATTTGTTCATTTAAATTATCATTTTTGATCTTCTATTCTTGGTGTTGCGTTCTAGTTCCTGGGGTCAACAGAAAGCTGGACAGATACGATCTCTTTTTTTACAGTTCTTATATTGTACTGAGGAAGATACAGAATTTTAAAAAAAATACATAAATCAGGTGTGGGGATGATTTATCTTAAGGTTTAAATGACATCGTTAAAATTTCATTACACCAAGACTTAAAACAGTCAGGCAGAATTTAGCTGTGAACAAGAGTGTACGTTTCTTTCTTACAATAGAACATTGTATGAATGAATATGTCAACACATTTTCATTTCATCATTGACAACAAAATTACAATATTAAGGCACATCCCATAATTAATACATAGATTTCATAGATACTATTTTAACATTTACAAAATGTTTCACTGAATTATTTTTCATAATTTCTATTTTAATATTGATAGTTTTTTTGGAAAAGAGAAGATTTGAGTTCTCTTATCTGAAGTTTACAAGGAATATTCTAAATGGAAGATAAGGATATAATTAGCAATTCAGGGGCTTAAGAGTGCTTTAGAAAAAAAATACTAAAATAATTTACATCACATCTCAACTTCTAAAACGGCTTTTCTTTAATTCAAAAGCTGGAAGAAATGACGTTTCTAACTGCATATGGAAATGGATAATAGCAATAGAGATCATCACCATGATTTTTCATCCCTTTATTACCAAAGAGATTATTTTTAGCTCTTCACATACTTGTATGAAATCTAATATTCCTCAGTACTGCTTATGGCAGACATACACGAAATTTACTGTGCATACACTTGTCACTCGAATTCCATTGTGTGCATTGTTTACTAACAATAATTCTGATTGCTTTTTACTAAACAGAAAATAGAAATTCATAATGGAGTAAAACCCCAAAGATACATCCTCATTATTGATATCAAATTGAAAGACTTTACCATCAAATAAGTTATAGGTTCAAGCAATGAATTCTAAGCTCACTGTGATATATTTGTGTGGTTCAAATAACAATAGAAAAGAAGAATATTTTTCATGGAATAAGCTGCTAGTCCTTAATAATTATAAATAGACATCATAATTCTACAAATGAAATATAAAATACATGAATGAAATACACATGGCTTCATAATTCTGAGGAATTTTTGTCATATTTTGTATAATTTGGCAGTTTGTATGAAAAAAAGAACATGTTAGTGTCCTTGTTCTTAAGTTTTCATACACTCATAAACACACACACACACACACACACACATTTATATATATAAAAATAATTTTAGGTCAAAGACTTTTCTAGGTATATGTTTGGAAATTATTCATCCACATATTTTACAGAAAAACCAGTAAGAAATAGAAAATGTTTCATACACCACCAGTTTGTTTTCTGCTAGAAGACACACCATGCTCCTCTTGTGAATCTATGGAGATGAGGGCTTCTGTCCTCTCACCCAGTACCTCACTTGCCACAAAACTGAAAGAAAAGTCTGCTTTAGCTTCTTGTTTCCCCAAATCAGGACGAATGTGTGGGCTGAAGGATACATGATTCTAATAGCTTTGCAGAACAGGAAGAAAGGTTTATTTTCCAGCCTCTCCAAATTCCAAACTGATATCATTATGGACAGAAAGTAAATGGCACATAAGAAGAGGAAGGAGATCACAGTTTGCAAAGCTTTTATGTGGACCTTGGTGCTGGGATCTTGAGACCCTTTACCATAAAGCTGCATCTTCTTGAGATGTTTACACAAAGAACATATTAACAGCACAAAAGATAGTAGGGTCAAAGTGAAGGGTACTAAGTTTGCTAACATGGTTACAGTCGTATTTGAAAAGTACATTGCACTCATCAATTTGAACTTCCAAGTCATATTTCCTTCATATTCTTTTGTCCGTACAATCTCATTCATGTTTATGACAAAAAGATGACAAGCCAAAAATAGCAAAGGCCCCAACAGCATCACCAGAATGACACTCTTAACTCTCCTCTTTAAGTGAAGAAACAATAGGTTGGAGAAATTGGCAATCTTGAGCACATAAAATATGCTGAGGCAAGTAGCAAGCCAGTTGCTGAAATGACTGGTTACTGCCCAGAGGTTATAAGCAGTAGTTCTTAGGTCTACACTATAAAAAGCTGGATTCAACACAGTTGAATACCAATTTAGTAATAATACCCAGAGCAAACCAACTCTGGAGACCGCCAGAGCAGTGAGAATTTGGTCAGCAAAGGAGATCTTTTGTCTCTTGACCAACTCAACGGAATTTACCAATGCTATGAAGCCATTAGCAAAATTTCCAATAACAAATGTAACCACTACTAGAATGGAACAAATGATGGGTAGAAAAGTTATCATGTCTGAACAGACAAAAAGAAAATTTTAAAATGCTGGTGTTGTATCCGGAGTTGGTTCCTGCAGGTGGGTTCGTGGTCTCGCTGACTTCAAGAATAGAGCTGTAGACCTTCACAGTGAGTGTTACTTCTCTTCAAGATGGCACAGACCCAAAGAGTGAGTGGTAGCAAGGTTTATTGAGAAGCTTCCACACCCAGGCACGTTGCTGCTGGTGGCTGAAGTGGGGAGCTTTTATTCCCTTATTTGTCCCCTCCCATTTTCCTTTTCTGTCCTATCAGAGTGACCTTTTTTCAGTCTTCCCTGTGATTGACTGCTTTTAGGATCCTGCTGATTGGTGCATTTTACAGAGCGCTGATTGGTGCATTTTACAGAGCGCTGATTGGTGCATTTTACAATCCTCTGGCTAGCTACTGAGCGCTGATTGGTGTGGTTTTACACAGTGCTGATTGGTGCATTTTACAATCCCCTTGCTAGCTACAGAAACTTTCTCCAACTCCGCAATGGATTGAGGAAATATAGCTGGCTTCACTTCTCAGTGTAATATCACCGGTTGTGATTGCTTGAATATCCTGACCTTAAATTCTATATGCACCTGATTTGTGTATGTGTTGTGACATTCTTTTTACTTTTAATTGTTGTGACCAGGGTCAAGCCGGAAATCACCATAGCGTGCTAATGGATGAGTTCAATGATCTCTTATGGAAAACATTCTTATTTTCAAACAACTCAAATTAACTCATTCATTCACTGTCTGTTCTTGTTCTAGGCTGGAATTATTCACACTGAAATTGACATGAAACCTGAATCCTCATTTGCTAGTGTGCAAATAAGTACATATTCACTTTCAGTGTTTGCAATTTTTCCTTGTGTAACCTCTCCATCATTTATCTTTAGCAATTTCAGTTGCTAGGGAAGTTTTCTAACCCAATACAGAGATCATATAGTAAATTTCTGAATTCTCAAAGGGAGCTTTGTCATAACTAAGATCATCACCAATATGGCCTTTTTAAAATGACAGATTTAAATACACG